AAACTAATAAAATAGATGAAAGTCTGGCAGTATTGACCAAGAGAAGAAGAAAAATGACAAAAACGTTATAGAATTTCAAAATTTCCCTGACAAAGGGGAGGGAAAGGACATCACAAAATTGGGGAAAGAGCAAAGCTGGGGAAAGAAAGAGATTTGAGAGGCGAAGCCGGGGACACTTACTGAGTTTTACCTGCTTCTCAGTTTCATCTTGAAGGTGCTATGTATTGTCTCTGATGTCTGCATGCACTAATGATGTCTGAATGAACTAGTGATGTCTGGATGGACGAGGCAGGATTCATCTTGTTGCAATAAACCATAACCCATACTCCGGCTAGTTAAACAAAAAAGGGAAGTCATTATCTCAGAAACCTGCAGAATTTGATGGGTGACTTGATCTGACACCCAAATGATACCATCAGCACTCCTCTCCTGGGTGTGTGTGGGGGGGCACCTTCTCAGGAACCTCTGTGGGTTTCCAGGCTCACACCACCCCAACTCCTCGGCCAGTGGAAGCGTGAGACTGCTTTCCAATATGTCAAGCATGGGTCCTGTCAAGCAGTTTTGTTAGCTCTGATTGCTCCAGTTGGATGAGGTATTCGCCACAGAACCAGTCACTGTGGCTGGGAGAGTGGAATGTTCCGGAATGCTCTAGTCTAGAGCCATGTGCCACGGGAAATGGAAGTATTCATCAAGTGAGCCACATGGATTGAATGTTGGGAAGGAATGATTCCCTCCAAAGCAAAACTGTGTCCTGTTGTCATGAGAAGGGGTGGCTCACGCTGGGCAACAAATTTCCCACAGGTGTCCGTCCCACTGGTGGTATGGCCAGCGTCTTGAGGGCCTTTCAGCTGATTCAGGAAACTGCATGAAATATCCACAGGCGGCTCTTCAAGAACATGACTGAATTCAAGAGGCCAATCTGGGGCAGATTCAGAATGAATTCCAGACTTGTGACACCCACTGAGTTTATGAAGCAAGGAAACGACGGGAAGCCAGAAATGGCATCTACATTTGACCAGCAGCCAACCACAAGAGTGGCATGTTAGGGTGATGTGGTCAAAGAGGGATTGGCAAACTCTTTGATTAAGAAACAAGAGAGAGACAAGACTGTGTTTTGGGTTTTTTGGGGGTTTTTTTCCCCCAGAGAATCCAATTTGTAGCCATTCAAACCAAGTGCCTTTGAGGTTTGGATAAAGAAGTTTTCTTCGGTTGTTACAGCAAAGCATCAGAGCCAGTTAGATGTTAGCGAACGCTTTCGAAAGCTTAGAGCTCCGGTGAGGACACCAGCAAGGTGGGAGAGGGGAGGGTGGCGCGGTGGGGGTTATTTGAAAGATGGGGGAGGGGGATAAGAAGCATGATGAGGTCTCTGAGATTCTTACAAGATTTACAGTTTGGTTTAGAATTTGAAGATTATGTTTGGTTTAAAAATAGATCCCCAAACTGCAGTATTCTTAGATTTGCACTTTTCTGCAAGATTTCTGTGATTCCTTGCTGATTGCACCTGAGAGATATTTTCTCTTGAATGTCTTTAATGTTCTTATGTACAAAATATCATTCATTCATGCCCTCATTCATTCATTCAATCAACCAACATTACATTGAGGGCTTACTGAGGGAGAATCAAGGTTTCATCTGGAAGATTTCCTACCCACCACCCCCATCTCCTCCTTACCATTCCCACTGGTCAGCTAGCTGCCAACTCATCATCGGTATGTGGATGGCTTATGGGCATTTCGGAGTCAACACTTCCAATACCAAACCGTTGATACCTGTCTCCCAGCCATACCTTCTCCTCTTCTAGGCTTTCTCATCTAAAGGGATGGTGCCTCCATCTACCCACTGGCTCCAGTCAAAACCTGGGAGGAGGCATTTTTGACTTTTCCTTCAACTTCATGCCTAAATCCAACCCAGCACCTAGTAGGCTCTGAATCAATACTGACCTAATGACAGGTGGTTGAATGAGAGGTGAATGAATGAACAACGCTTTGAGTTGCCTACACATGCTACTCCAGCCTGTGCCATTTCATCTCCCATAGGAATGTGTGCTCCTGCCATGGAGATACAGCTTGAGTAACTGTACATCTGAACGAGGGTTTTTACATTTTGAAAAACTTGCTATTTCCTGGAAACAGATTGTGTCTCTCTGATTGTCTATTAAGTTTTTTTTTTTTTTAACCACTGAAGATCTTGGAATCAAACCAAAGTAATCTGCGTTTCCATTTTTATATCTTAATTTATAAACTGCACCTTATAATTTACAAGCATTCACTTAGTGTCTCTGACGGAGCTGAAACAAATACCAACCGTGCCAACTACACCACCCAAGTCTTCTCTCTGCACCCTTCGTATCAGGAACTTTCTAGTTTTTCAGGTTGGAGGGAATGGGTTGGAGCTAGACCTAGCTTGGGGAGGGTAAGGATAGGAGTAATAATGATATGTCACATTTATTTAGGGAAGAAAGAGGAAGGTCTCATTACACCCATTTCATAGATGATAAAATATAGGCTGGAGATGGGAGTGACATGACCAAGAAGGTTTGCTTATGAGTGATGGAGCCAGGCCTAGAATCTGCATCTCTGGAGTTCTTCATGCCAAGGGTCTTTCTAGGATACTAGATTAGGATCTCTCCACTTTGGCACTGGTGGTATTTTGGGCTGCATCATGCTTTGTTGTGCATTGCAGGATGTTTAACAGCATCTCTGGCCTCTACTTATTAGATGCCAGTATCACCCAGCCCACTGTGACAACCAAAACTGTCCCCAGACATTGTCAAGTGTCACCCCTGCTTGAGAACCACTGTGCTAGACTGTGCCCTTGTCCTTGATTACAATGGAGGCACAAAGGTTAGGAAAATTCATCCCCTTTCACTGCCTCTCACACCCCACCCACCACCCGTTCCCTCCAGTCCCAGGGTTTATCTGAGAATTGCCCTGCCCACAATATCACACAGATCTCTGAACAAATACCTAGTACCTCTTGTGTGGCATTGGATCCTTTGTAGTCTTGATCACATTTAGCTCCCAAAGGTGCATACAACTATCCCATTTTACAGGTGAGGAAACTGAGGCATTGAGAGGTCATAACTTGCCCACAATTACACAGTTAGTAAGTGGCAGTCTGGGCTGCAAACCCACAGCTGTCTAGCTCTGGGGACAGAGAGTTTACCTTCCCCACCCTTTTCTCCTTGCTCCTCTTCAACAGAGCTGAGAACCTTTGCCTGGGTCAGCAGGAAGGCACTGTGTTTGAGAATCCCCGCACCCTCCTCTCCATAAAGCAGTAGCCCATCTCACTTAAGACAGACATCTTTCAGGATGTGCAGGACACACACCCATGATTGTGGGTTCATGTGCCTATCACCCTCTCCAGACCGTGGTCTGTGTCCTCAGTGCCAGCAGTGGGCCTTGCTGAGTAAGGCATGTGGGCAATGCATGTCCACACAGCAGTGAGGGCTACGCACAGCAGCCAGCTCTGGAGTAGGATTCTCCTGGCTGTGTCCTGTGCGACCCTGGACAAGAGAAAAAAACATCTCTGAGCTCAGTTTCCCCATCTATAAGATGGGAAGACCCATTTCTCAGGGCAGATGTGAATTGTGTGATGATAAATGTACACTGGTTCCCATGGATGCTAGGTGCTCGCTAAATGGTGACCTGTAACGAATGTCAACTCCCTCCCTGAAGTTACCTGAAGTTACTGCTGAAGGAGTCTAGTATTGGTGATTCCTACAGTAATAATAACCTTTTGCATCGGTCACTGCCTTTTCGGGGTATAGCTTAACATATGAAATGGTTTTCCTTGGTTAGTAGCCTGATGATGGGCCCTTGATTCCCCACTCTGAGCAGCCCTGGTTTTTAGCAATTTTGATTCTGCTTTGGCCATTTTCTTTGATTTCTCCAATTCACACTACCTTGTGGTAAGATTCAAGCTCCTTGCACCAAAGGTGCAGAGAGAAGAGGGGCCCAGTAGGGCCTGGTTACCAATCCCCAGCCCAGGCTCTCATCCCCATCTCTCCCCAGCCACTTCCTCCTTGATCACCAACCAGTTACTGATGCTTTCGGTGCCTCAGTTTCCTAATTCGTAGATTAGGACCTGCCTCAAAGGGTTAGAAGATTAAATGTACAGAGCCTAGAATGTATCACACCATTGATCTCTATTAACAATTGCCCCCTGTCCTTTAACTGGGGTGAGTGCAGTGCCTAGTGAGCCGCCGAGGGAGGGAGAACTGGTAAGGGCGTTTGAGCTCTGCGGCAAGCAGGCGGCAGGCCCCAGAGCAGCCGGGCGTGCACTGCCGTAGCAGCTTTGCTTGCCTACATGCCTTCAGGAGGGGAAAGGGGCTGGCTTCAGTGAGTCCAGGGCGCTGTGGGCAGGGAGCCAGCACCATCGCGCACCCCAAAAGACAAGCAAAGCCATGCCCGCTGAACTCAGTGGCAGCATTCACGTCTTTTAAACATTAATAAAGGCTGCTCAAAATTCCGTACTCTTCAAAGACCCGGGACAAAGTCTCCCTTCCCAGTCATCAAGCCAGTTCCCCAGGCTCTACTCTTTCCGCCGCCAGCCCCTCACGTTTTGGCCCGGCTAAAAGGAGCCCAGTGTCTCTCCCAAATTATTTCGAGCCGGTGGAGGGACTGCGGGCATCTGATCCCCAACCGCTCGGCCAGGTCCACAGAGGGTCTCCGTCCAGGCCGGCTCCTCCCCTAAGGTCACCCAACTTTCTCCTCTCTCCGCAGCTCCTGGGAAGGGTCCGGGAGGGGCCGGTGGGGCGCGGCGGGGGGCGGCGCGAGGCCCCCTCCCCCGCGGGCAGGCGCCCGCCCCGCATTATTCATTGGCCAGAGCTGGCTGCGGGCTCGGGTGCTGATGTCAGGCGGGCGCGGGCGAGGCCCGGGCGCCGGTGGGGGGGCGCCGAGTGGGGGTGACGGCCAGCATGCTGCTCGGCTGCGGCTCGGCCTCCCACACCCGCGGCGCCCTAGTCCTAGCCAGCAGCGGCGGC